GACTCTGTCGGCCCCCTATATCTAATTTATTTGTAGAATAATGATTCAAAACTCCTAAACTCGCAATTAGCCTGGACCAACTGAGGGGAACGTTACAAATACGAACAAATAGTGCACAGTTGTAAGCAGGTAAACAAAACTCAAAGCCAGGAGAGATCAATCGCAGTGGGCAGAGTAATGACTTCACATTTCCTGCCTATAGAACTAGTCCCAGAGAGGCTAGTTGTTTGCCCCTCAACTCCGGGTTAACAGAAACACAGCTCCAGAGTTGACCTGCACTTGCTAAAATAGATTTGTACAACACGTATTCGGCTTTGCGCATGCTTAGATGTCTCCGCAGGCACCAGTACAACACCTCCACTGCACTCGGTGCTCTCAATCTTACCTGGGTAAAACGTGCCAGGCAACTGTATTAGTTGGTGCTCGTTGCACCCTTGGCTCTGCCATCTGTCACAAATAAAGGAAAGCGATGCATCTAGTAAAGCCATGAGCTGCAACAAAATGATTCGTGCAAGAATGGTAACAAACAAAATACTCTTAAGTGAGCTAGGTTACACCACAAGAGATCTGCCATGACAAAACCTATATAATAATAATAATCCTTGCATTTAATATAGAGCCTTATCACATCTTTGAGACGTCTCAAAATGCTTCACAGAATATGCTGTAAAGTGAATTGACTGTATATTTTGTGGGCGAAATGCAGCAACCATTGTGCACAGCAGTGTCCCACAAACAGTAGTGAATTAAAGAGACCAATTTATTATTTTTTTAAGGAATTATTACTTGCGAGGTGAGTGCTCTAACCACTGAACTACAGGACTCTAGCTATAGCTGATGTGAGAGGCTGGAGATGGAATCAAAGGCCCAGAATAAAAAGAGGTTAATATGATAGAGATGGTTAATGGACAACAAAATAGTCAAGCTGAGATCCTGCGGGCTAGCAGGTTCAATAGCCACCATGGGCCTAATAAACTAGGACAAAATGTGTTATTGTGTGACCCAATTTTCACTGCAATATTCTTCCATTCTGACAACTCACGATTCACGATTCAGATATGACCTGCTTCCCATAATAGACCCTATTGCTCCCTTCCACAACAACATCTCAGTCTCAGCTTATTAGGATAGATAGTGCTGACATATTTAAGCTGCTAAGCAATTGTGGATATTCCAAGTTGTCCCAAGTTCAGTGATCAACACTTCCAATAATGTCCCCACTCTCTCATGCACTTACCAGGCTTTCAATGTATAGGGAGCAGCTCTCCATTTGTACTTTATTATCTGACCTGAAGGCATGACAAATTGGAGAGTAGTGTGGCTTTCAAAGTCCAGAGTGTCCCTCTTGTCAATCAACCCAGCCTCATCAGATTTGCATTGAGTCTGGTTTGGATTTTGCATTATTGCTAACTCTATTTCATGCTCTTTGAGAAGCAGTAAACTGTGAAAAGTACCAAAGTCATCAGTTCCAGAAAATTATCTAATAATATTTCCATTCATGAACATGTCCAAATGTGTACTAAAGTAGATTTTCTGGCATGGACCTTTGAAAATTGACTGCATTTTTGACAAAGGTACATGGGTGTTATATGCCTTAATATATGAACACTGATTTTGCAGAACTCATCAGTCACTTACTTCATTCTGATTAATATTTAATATTTAATTTAGGATTTACCGCTGGGAATGCATATACTTATTCATATCTGACAGACTTATAAAGAGCCTTAGGACATTGGCTGTGAATTCAGTAAAGTTTTAGGAATGTCACAGTAGTTTTATCATTAAAGTATTCTCTGCGTGTGTGTATGTAGAGAGAGAGCTTACACACATCATCACATCTCTGAAAAGCTACAAAGCAACTTGCAAGTTGGTCTTAAATAATCTGACCTTTTGACTTACAAGAGACTATTTTCTAACATTCAAACATCACAAGCTATTCCAGTTGTTCTGTCAGGGATAGAAAGGAGACTGGAATGAGCAGAGTGCTGTCTTGTTTGAATCTGCAGAATGTTTCTATTTGGATAGAAAACCATAAGAAATGCTAGACGAAAAAAGACCGAGGTCCATCTAGTTCACCTTCCACCTTCCTGGCGGTCGCATGCACATATGTCCGAACTAGTGGAAGTTGAATGGATGTTTTGATAATCTGAAATGCAGATACATATAATTATTGAAAGCTCATTCCTGGCTTCAAACCATTGGGAACTCTGAGGTTTCTGGTTTTCTGACTGTAAATTATAATAATACTTGCATTTGATATAGCGCCTTATCACATCTTCAAGATGTCTCAAAGCGCTTCACAGAATATACTGTGAAGTCGATTCCCTGTATATTTTGCAGGCAAAATGCGACAGCAGTGTCCCACTGACAGTCATGACCAAATTATTTTTTAAAAGTTGAAGGGATTATTACCCCCAGAAAAGCGATCTGCTGATCAACTAACAATCGGGTTCCTACTTCCTGCCAGGTAAACAGACACGTGTGGAGTAAGAAAACTTGTCTAAGGTTTCACCCTGTCAGGAATTGAACCCAGCTCCTCTCGCTTGCGAGGCGAGTACTCTAACCAATACACAGGACTCCACTAGAACACATGCAAATCTGAAACATTGAACAAATGCTTCTATGCACACGTGATGCTATTTTATTTATTAAATTTCAATGTTTGGTGTCAACCCAGTAGTCACTGCTACTAGAGGACGAGCAAAAAAGCTTTATTCTTGCCAATCTTTGAAAAATGATTAATGAAGTTTTGCACATATTGGATTGAAACGTGTGCTACGTGATGTGCTCAAATTAAATTAGTATATTTTTACTGAACTATATACTAAAAACACAAAATGGCCTCTTGGGGACATTTGTCAATCTGACTTAGTTGATAGCATTCTCGCCTCTCAGTCCGAAGGATGTGGGTTCAAACCTCATATTGGGTCTTTGAGCTCATAATTTAGACTGACACTAATGTAGTGATAAGGGAGCACTGCACAATTAGAGGTGCTGTCTTTTGGTTGTGATGTTAATCTGAGCTCCCTTTTGTGTGATTAGGTGGTTGATTCCATATCAATATTCAAAAAGAGAAGTGAGTTTTTGTGGGTTGCCTGGCCAACAATTTTCTGGTTAATATTGGTCAATTTCTTCACGGCTGTTTGTGGGACATTGCTGCATGCAAATATGTTGCCATATTTGCCTACAAATGAAGTCACTACATATTATGGAAAACTTTTGAGATGGTTTGACATGAAAAAGGCTCTATATTAAATGCAAGGATTATTTGTGTTATTATTATTATAGCCTGGAGATACCCAGCTTTTAATGGTGTATCTAATCTCTTGTACTCCAAAGATAGTTTATTTTCAATTCTCGGTAGTCTACCAGTGAAGTATTATAGGAGATCAGATGTTTGCGATGAATCTGAGATCCTTGTAAACTAGAGGGGATTGTGCCAGGTGTGAGTTAAGTCTCATAGGAATAGCGTGTCAACTTTGATCCATGGAATTCAATTCATATCAATTGGAGGCAAGTGTAGATCAGTGTTCTTTTCAGCCTAAAACAAACAGAAGTGGCTGGGAACACTCAGCAAGGTCAGGCAGCAGCTATGGAGAAAGGAAAGTGAGTCAACGTTTCGGGTCCAGGAACTGTCATCAGAACTCATTTTGTATTTTGTTCTTTTCAGCTTACATGTCCAATTGTTCACAAGAATCCTTCACTATGTTTACCTCTAAATCTAATTACTTGAAGTCTTTAGTGGGCAGGAACCTGTTCAGTTCCTTATATTAAACAATTCATTGTCTCTATTGCACTGAATTGGAGTGTTACATTTTGGGTTGAAAAATTGCAATGTTGTGATGTGATAATTATCACCGGTGATAATGTCTCATCACATTTTTTACCCCAAAATATTTACTGTCATTTCTTTTCTCTTTTACCAGGATAACTGGTTTCAAAAATACGAGTTGAAATATGTCAGTAGTTAACAAGGTTGTAATTGCTGTTTCTTTCTACATGACCAAGGATTAGAGTCAGTTCTACAAACCTATCAGCATTTTACTCAGAAGGTGTCCTTGACATTTCCCATTACAACAGACAATTCCTGTTCAGCTTCATAGAATACTTCTATTTTGGGAAATGCACACATGTATCTGACAATATCCTGACATACATATCAATGCAGTGGAAAACATTTTTGTGCTGTACACAGCAATAATTTGTTCTGTCAGGTGCATGAATGGTTATAAGCAATTTATTTGGCCATTCCCATTTACTCTATACAATTTATTTACTAAAATAAGTTCTGATGCTGAGAATCTCAAATTAAAAATAGACAGAGAGGAAGTTCTGAAAAGATTGACTGGGCTCAAAATTGATAAGTCACCAGGACCAGATGGGTTTCACCCAAGGTTGCTATGGGAGATACGGGTTCAAATAGCGGAGGCTTTGGCCATTATATTTCAATCGTCATTGGACACAGGAGTGGTGCCAAGAGACTGGAGAGTGGCTAATGTTACCCCACTCTACAAAAAGGGGCAGAAAGACAAGCCGGAAATTACAGGCCAGTCAGCCTAACTTCGGTGATAGGAAAGCTACTGGGGACCGTAATCCGGGACAAAATAAATCTCTACTTAGAGGAACATGAGGTAATTAGAGACAGCCAACATGGATAGGTATCTGGGGAAGACAGGTTTGCAGGGTTATGGGGAGAAAGCTGGTGAGTGGGGTTAATAGAAGTCAGTTGCTCTGTCAAAGAGCCGGCACAGACTCGATGGGCCGAATGGCCTCCTTCTGTGCCATAACATTCTATGATTCTGTGATTAATGGGGTGAAAAAATGTGGTTACATGATGTGATCATTTTCACCGATGACAATATCACTTTGTGTTTTTCACCCCTAAGTGTTTGGTGCCATCGTTCTCATCTTTTTTTCCAGGAAAAATTTAGTTGAACAAATACAGTTTGGCATATGTCAAATGGTAACAGGCCGCACTTTGTTTTGTTTTCTTTCAGGAAAAAGAATCAAACGTTAAGACAACCAAAGTGTATTTGCACCAGAAATTTCAGCAAGCAAAATGTCAGATAGGGTAAACTACTTGTCCTATTTCTACGGTAGCATCACGCGGGAGGAGGCTGAAGATTTCCTCAAGCAGGCTGGAATGGCTGATGGCCTCTATCTTTTACGTCAGAGTCGTAACTTCCTTGGAGGTTATGCTTTGTCCCTGTCCAACGATAAAACGTGCTACCACTATACAATCGAGAAACAGATGAGTGGCCACTATGCCATAGCTGGAGGGAAGAATCACAATAGCCCAGTTGATGTTTGTGAATATCATGCCGAAAATTCTGATGGTCTCGTCTGTCTTCTGAAGAAACCGTGCAATCGACCACATGGAATTCAACCAAAAGTTGGACCATTTGAAGATCTGAAGGATCAGCTGATCAGAGAATATGTTCAAATGACATGGAACTTGGAGGTATGACAGATTTTTTATTATTGACCCAGCTAACCATTGTTTTTACTAAAAACTATAGTATATGTGGTAATGATTCCCTCCCCAACCCCTTGGCTCCCAGCCCCAGCTCGGGTACATTGATAGACGCTTTGAGACATCCTCCCAATACAAAAGGTACTTTATAATTAGCTTTCAAAATGGGGGCTAGGTAAATACCTAAAAAGGAGGAAGCTACAGGAGTATGGGGATAGGTAAATGGTACTGAAAGGATTGCTTTTCAAAAGTCAGCACAGATATGATGGGCCGAATGGCCTTCTGCTGTACTGTAAGTTTCAACAACAACAACTTGCACTTAAATAGCACCCTCCATGCAGGGCAGCGTCTCAGAGTGCTCAAGTTTCTACGGTACTATAATTGTAAATTGTATTCTAAAGGAACAAATAATAAGACAACCAAAGTGTTATTGTGCCAGAAATAAATTTCAGCCAAAATGTTCAACAGGTGAAACACTTGTCATTTTCCTATGGAGAAATGAGAGAACAGGTCACACCTGAGTAACAGGGCACTTTGTTTTGAACTCGTTGGCAGATGAATCTCAGCATCTTCTAACACAGTATTTAGATGGATCGTGAGCCCTATCAGGAAGAGGAAAACATCTGAAATCAGCAGATAATTTTTTATTTTCTGGGGTGGGATTGGGGGTGGGGTGGGGAGCTGAGTATCTTAACAATTGCAGATATCCATCAGCAAGCTTAAGAGTATCCAAACTAAACTGAGACTTCCACATATGTGTATGCCACTTACAGTTGGAAACTGAAAAGTAATGCCGCTTACTTTCTCCCTGTGTCTGGAACGGAATGTACACGCTCTGCCCAGAAGGATGCAGTTGATTATCTAACTACAGACAGTATTGGTGAGAGCCAACCTGCAAAGGTGGCGAAATTCAAGTTGATGACAGACTGAGAAATGAGAGGCAATTTATATAAATAATGTTGAGCATGTTACAACAAGTTTCTTAAAGAATAAGTTAAAGAAATTAAACATAACTTGCTTTATTTTAAGTGCATCCAAAAATATTTGATATTAGCACCTGTCTCAGTGTTGACTTCTCCCCACCCCCCAGCATTTACTGGTTTTGATTGAGTATTTGTACGATGCAATAATTAGTGAAGGTGATAATAACCTTTGCCACATTTGCCCCTTTCCGCTCTAAGTACAAGAGGAATGTGCAATGTCGAGCAGTACAGAACTCAGTTGTCAATGCTGCGAGAGCGCATCAGAACCTTCATGTTTTATTAGGTCTTTCTCTCATATGAGACAGGTTAGTTAAACTGCCGCACTGACTCCTGTTAGCACAAGCACTCCGGGATGCTATCCTGCGTGAGCGGCGCTATATAAATCCAACTTGTTGTTACCAGAGCCTTGGGACATCCTCCCGACATGAAAGGTGCTATACACATGTAATTTGTTGTTGTTGTAACACTTTGCAAGATAAAGACCCTGTAAAACTCACAAGTAAAAAATGGTCATCGATCCTACCCTATAAAATGTTTATTCTCTTTAACAAGGTGTTAGTTAAATGTTTAAAATTAAAATATGGAACAGCGTAGAAAATCTTAAATGCAAATGTGTAGATTGTAATCAAGTTCTGACTCTGTTTTTGCGAACTACTGGGGGTTTTCCCACAGTCTTTTCTGTCCTCAGTTGTAACACTTACCGCCACAAAATGTAAACAACATTTAAAAACAAAATTCCATCCCACGTATTGCAAAGAATAGAATATTGTAGCTGTTATTCCAGGGACAGAGTGAATGTTTTTTTTTAAAATTTTTCTCGTTGCTTCCTCTGCTCAGTGAACACCAGTTTCCTCCATGTCCCCCTTCCAACCTGTGCCACAATCAGTGGATAAACGTTCAGTTATTCTGCCCCACTCTCTCAACTCCGTTCTGGGGACCCTCCACTTTGTCCCCTCCCTCCACCTCATTCATTCTCTCCCTCTACATCATCCATTCCCTCCTTCCCCACCTTTAAAGCCCAACTTTCTTGCCGACAGCACTTTTGGCCATTGCTTCCCCCCACCCTCACCCTCATCATTCCCTCCCACCTCTAGTTCATGCTCCTAACTGAATCTGTGAAGCACTTTGAAACATTCTCGCAATGTGGAAAGGGAGAGGGGGAGAAGAGGTTGAACGAAAACATTGTGTAAATATTCAGTGCATGCATATTCTCAAATGAGAACACTGTAATTATTATTAATGATACATAGAGGCGGTTATGGTTAATGGTGAAAACTACATAAAGACATTCACATGAGAGCTGTAGGTATTTTGCTGAACTTACCTGGTTGACGTTCCTGCTGAAGAATTTTACTGTGGCATATTCTCTATGTGCAGATTTTTAAACCTGTCATTATCCACACTTTTTGATGAAAGTTTATGGATTTATTTGCAATGAGAATTGAGGTTGTCACCATGGCACAGAATAGTTATTTTCTGTTATCTATATCCAGCCACAGAGAAAGGAATAATCTTACCCCAACATTAATGATGTTACATCTATGGCATCTTGCTTAAACTCCATGATAGAGAGCAGGTAAAGAAAAATGACCAGGTCCTACTTTTAACAATACTGCACTCTGCACATCAATTTGTGCCTTTGGTATATTGTTCTCAGACAGGTGATCCTTTGCCCCTCTTTGAATTCTAACCTCACCCGCACGCACTCACACCTTTATTTATCTTTCTATCTATTTTGTTCATTGCTCTCCTGAACTTTCACTTCATGCTCCTCCCAAACTCCAAATATATCATTCTGTACACTCATCCTCCTCTCACTACATTGTTTCCAACTCTAAGCCATTCTTTTCCAGGGTAGCAATACTGCATGGCATTGGTTGCATTGTCTTCCTATCCCCATGTCCCCTTCCAACCCACCCAGACCATAACACCGCCTTCTCCCTCCGCCACCGCTCCTGCCACTACCCCCTCCTTACACACCTTTGCCCCCATTTCTCCCTCATCAATCTTAATCACAATCACCTGGATGAAGTTCACCACTTGCTATCTTGAGATCCTCCCCACCCATCCGCTAGTCACTCAACTCTCCCTTCTCTCCACCCTGCTGGCCGACATGGTCAACCACTCTCTCTCCTCAGGGTCTGTTCCACTCCCCCTGAAAACCGCTGTCATCACACCCCTCCGCAAAAAACGCACCCTCGATCCCTCTAATCTCACACACTAACATCCCATCTCCAACCTCTACCCTTCCTTGCCAAAGTCCTGAAACGCATTGTTGCAGGTCAACATTGGTCACATCTCTCCCTCCACTCCCTCCTCGAGGCCCTGCAGTCTGGTTTTTGCCCTGCCCCCAGCACGGAGACAGCGCTTATCAAAATCACGAACGAGTCTGTGACCAGGGCTCCCTCTGCCTCCTCTTCCTCCTGGATCTCTCTGACGCGTTCGACACATTCCACCACGCCATTCTCCTCCATTGGCTCTCCTCCCTCATCTACCTCCATGGTTGGAGTCCTACTTATCCACCTGCCTCCATTTCAGCTCAGCAAATGCTTTCTCCTCCCACTCGGTCACCTGCGGGGTACCCCAGGGCTCCATCCTTGGCCCTCTACTTTTCCATATCTGTATGCTCCCTCCGGGCGATGTCATCGGCAGACACAGGGTAAACTTCCACACACAAATCTACTGTTGCCTCCTCCAGAACCAAATCCAGATCAGCCGATATTCGATCAGCTTGTCTGGCAGATATCAAGGCCTGGACGAATGTAAACTTCCTGCAGCTGAATATAGACAAGACGGAAGCCATGCTCCTTGGCTCCCATCAATGTCTTCACTCCTGTGGATCTAAACTCCTCAACCTCCCTGGGCTCTCCCTCAGACTCACCAAATCAGTGCGCAACCTAGGCATCCGGTTAGACCCCCAACTGTCCTTCCTCCCCCACAGCCGGCTCCTGACCAGGAGCACTTTCTTCCACCTCTGCCACATTGCCTGCCTCCAGCCGTACATTACTCCAAATGCAGCCGAAACCCTCGTAAATGCGTTTGTCAACTCCCGCTTGGGTTACTCCAATGCACTTATCGCCGGTCTCCCCAACTCCACCATTCACAAGATCCAGCTCATTCAGAACCCTGCTGTCAACATACTTACCAGAACCAAACTCTGTACCCACATCTCACCAGTTCTAGCCAGGCTCCACTGGTTCCCCATCACTGAACAGATCGACTTCAAGATCCTCACGCTCATGTTCAAATCCATTCACTCCCTGGCACCTCCCTATCTCTCCGACCTCCTCACTCCCCAATCCACCACCCAGTATCTCCTGCTTGTCCCTCGCACCCTTCACCCCTCCATCGAAAGTTGTGCTTAGAGCCACTCTGCCTCAATCCCTCCACCTTGCAACCCCCTCTCCCCTCTTTCATGTCCCACCTGAAGACCCTCCTCTTACGGCCACCTCCCCTCCCCCTCAGCTTGGAGTCAGGCTCTGCCACAGTTAAGCACTCTGAGACCCTACCCTGCGTGGAGGGCGCTATATAAGTGCAAGGTTTTATTGTTGTTGGCATCTTTCCCTCCTCAGCCACGCCTTGCTTTATTATCTAAAGCCATTTATTGTTAATGGTGATTTATGCATCATATCTTGGCCCTTTATCTAGGATCTCAATATAAAATAAGTTGTAGGTGTAAGTGAAGCATATTACAGTGTATATCTATTAGTGCCGGAAAACAGGCAGAATGTCAATAGCAGGTGCTGCCCAAAAGCTAAGCGCAGCTGTCTGGGTCAGGAAGAATGCTCCTGCAAGACTTCAGGTTTCAGGTGGGACTGGACGCCTCAATTATCTCCACCAGCAATTTAACTTAAGCCTGCTTACTGACATGGCCCTACTTATCAGAGTCAATCTGTTTGTGGTGTGTCAGACTGACATCATTAAGCAGCTATCACAAAAGGCAGAATACTGCAGATGCTGGAAATCTGAAATAAAAACAAAAATCAATGGGAACACTCAGCAGGA